GTAGACTGAGACAGTTATTGAGTGAGAGAAGATGTGGAGGTGACAGCCAATAAGATATTGTTCTAAGGACAAAAGGCAGTCATTTGTATGATAATCCTGCACCCCGAGGAAAACTCCTGCTGAGGGTTTCTGTTGTGGAGCAATGAAGACTATTTCATTTCACTTCTAACAAATTAGACATACAAGCAGAGCTGTGCTAGGAATCATGTGTGTCTTTATAGGCTATTAACTCGAAGAATGATATATTGCACTGCGATGCTGAAACAGTAATTGCTGTAATTGCCAGAAAATTCAGTCTGTTGAGAATTCTCAAAATGTATAAAACAAGTTCATTCGTCCACATAAGGCGCTAAGGAACAGAAGACAGGAGCATTTAGGTGAAAGAAATAGCTTACTTTAAAAATTTTACCTAGTTGTGATGAGATTTTACACAAATTTAAAAAAACACTGCCAATATTAACAACCAGCCAAAAAGAATTTATCCATTTCAGTGCTCGATATCATGTTAATTTTAGGCAAAAACCAGACAGCTCCTTTGACTGTCAAAATCCTTATCAACCTGCAAAATATCTGTATTTAATTGTTCAGTCATCTGGCATTTCCTCAAAACAGAAGCCTCTGACTCACTGCCAGAAAATATAAATGGTCATCAAAACAGTATCATTAAAATGTTCCTACTTCTCCTGTGTCCTTGACACATTTCTGTAACAGCAGGACACACATTTACTTACTGCTCAATTATCAGGCACAATCTTGATTACAGTTATGGGTTGTAAGAAAAGCACATATAAATAAACAACAGCAGACCCATTTTCAAATTCTGTCTTGGAGGTTGGGTTACTTTATTTGAACTCGTAGGTAGATTTTGTGTAAAATCTAATTTCTGTTTGTTGGAAAAAATATATATACAGCCAATGCCTTGTTGCCAAAGACAAAGTCTAAGATGTTTTCAGTTTTAGCCAAATCTTGTTTTAGCCAAAGAGCAGTTTAAATTAAAATATAATGTTTAAATTATATATAAATACAAAAAAACAAGAATTACAAGAGAGTTCATGGTATTGGAGGCACTTCAATCAGAACAAGATATAGAGGGGTGGGGGTACGCCGCCGCCGCCCCCCCCCCCACACACACACACCCACACACACACCCACACACACACACCCACACACCAAGAGGGATGTAAGCTGAAAGGACACGAGAAGGCCCACAGAGGGTGACAGAAGAGGGATTATAAGACTCAGTAATGTATGTGTATGTAAAGTATAACCGTATGTGTCACAGAGATAAGTTATGCATACACATATATAGAAGATGTGTAGAACTATCTGTGCACCCGCACCCACAGGGACCCTCGTGTTCTTCGGGATGTTAGTTAAAGGCTACTCTTAGATTAATGGATCATGGGAGACAAACTGTGATTCAGCTGTAACTTAGCTTTCACTATCAATCACAGCTCTCACTTTACTTTCACTAATCAGTCAATTCTACTCACTGGGCCACGGAGATCTATATCTTGACCCTCACTCCAGCTCTTCTTGATGTTAGATGAAAGCAACACACACACACACACACAGTTACACTCACAGTTACACACATCAGAGAGACAAAATAGGCTACTACATTTCTTTGCTATATAAAAATACTCATAGGATCAACCTAATATGTGAAACATGCAGTGTGTGTGCACTGGACATTACAGCTCTGCACCATGAGAAACAAATGTAACATGCCCAGCCCACATAAGCTTAATTTGAACCTCAGTACTTTCTAGAGCCCTTAAAATGATCAACAACAGGATATCCCTGAAAACACATTATGTGTTTAGAGGGTATTACAACACATCTGTGGCACACACACAGCCTTCACCAAATCACTCACAACCACACTGTCACTATACACCTATTTTGTTTCCGTAACATTTATTTGGTGAAATTATTACCAGCCGCGACAGTGTGGCTGGTATTGTTTTCACTTCATGAGTTTGTAGGCCTATGTGTAGTGCCTGGACTATAAAAAGTAATTTTGCTTCTTCCAAGAAACCAGCAGCCCCCCACACCCCCCATCACTAAACCTCTGTAATCAGGTGACTGAGGTCACCCTTCATCCTGGTTTGGAAACATTAGTCCTTGGGCAATAACCGACAAATCACAGAAGGCCAGAAAAACACGACCAGAGTGAACGGGCCCGTTAAGGCTTCATCTGTGCAAGATAAGACCCTTTCAGAGGTCATCAATACAAATAGCTTACATATGCTATGTATGTATGGTATGATATGTCACAAAAAAGGACAATGCTGGATGCTTTCGTATAGTTTCAATAATATAATAAGCATTTTTCTCAGGCTTCTATGGCATCTTGCAGCAGTGCCTCTGTGAAGCCTGGCAATGGCTGGACCTGGATTGTCTATGCTTTCAAGCAAGATTCCCCCAATTATATGATTCGAAACACCCACTCAAGTCACAAGCATTTTGGGCCTCATTTCCACCTAGCAACAAGATACACCGAGCGTGAAATGGAGGTTAAGGTTTTCCATTAGACAGCATAATGAAATAGCAAAATTAAGCAATGCATATCATATAGCACATCAGATCTATGGGAGTGTATGGAGTGTAAGTAAAGGTTAATTGCCAGTTACAGAGAGCACCCACTTGAAATTGCCTGTCCAGGTGGCAGATGGTTCACTGTAAAACTCACACTGTAAAAAGAATTATGGCATGAGAAGTAACATAAAAAGGGCAACATGCAGTAAATCTACCCTTCTTTTTCATGTACTTTCAAGCTGATGCCACTAAATTGGACAACTATTTTTCATTTTATTTTGGTTTCAAATGTAAGAAATGTAACAACTTGCATAACAGCAAAATAAATTAAATATTTCTGATTAAATATTGAGTCTCCCATTCTCTTTTGAATATTTTGCTTTTGCTTTTGGTGGGATAATATTGTATGACCAGTATTAGCAGCAGTCGCCTCTGCGCTCACAATGGAACTAGTAAACCTGTTGCAGCATCCCTTAACAGAGATGCACAGCTGGCGGTAAAATACTCCTACATATTCATACACCGGAAACAACGAAATCACAAAAAGTAAATACAAACACAAAACAAATTGCAGGTATATGATGCTCTTATGATGCTCTTATGATGTTCTTATGGCGCACATATGCGCAACTGATTTAGTGCGCCGTGCGTAAACGATGCAAGTGGCTGCATCCTTACCTGTCGTCGGTCTGCCAATCCCCGAGCAACAGGTCTCGAAACCGGTACCGAGGGGGCAGCGGGAGCACCTCCTTCTCCAGTTCGACCATGGTCCTCCTCCTCAGAGCCCCGAGACAAAGACAGATATCACCGCAAACCGCACCTCCACGCCGAGGAGGTGGACCCCCCAAAACCAACTCCGTTCCTCTTCCTTCTGCTATTCAAAACGTAGTAGATTAATAACGAACACATTGATACACCTCATGGCATCAGTCTTTGACCTCACTCCTAAACAGAAGAACCAACTTCTTTCTTTTCTGGCACCCGTCACAATGCAGCTCTACTTTTCTTCCCGCCGAGGCAACAGGTCGAGGATGTTCATCCGTCGGTGTGTTGGGGAGGCTCCACTTTAACTGTGACAGCTGAAGAGCAACTGGTTGTCTCTCTCAGCACCAGCATCCTCCCTGCCTGTGCTACGCATGGACGCGCTGTCTGCAAACGTGTAGCCAACCGTCGGGGACTACTGTAGGCTACTGTTGCGACGACTTTTCATTTCAGGAATAACAAAAAAAAGCCACAATTACAAAAACAATACCTACTCACAAATCTACAATATTGTAGGCTACAATACGCCATCCCCGTCAACATCGCGCTGCACGAGCATAATAAGCTACTATCCTCTCTAATCCTGAATGATAATAAAACTGTCAATCATGTACACGTGATCCTCATTTCTATCATACTTATGTGAAGACCTGCGCGCATCTCAGTCTTACGTAGCCTATATTTACAGTTTTCCTTTTGTTGCTGGGCTTCTAATAGCCTAAATATTATGGGATTGTAGGTCTTTTCGGAGTCAGTTTAAGAATCAATTATGTTCGTCTTGCTGAAATATACATGAGAACACATTCAATTCATGGACTGTAAGCTTGCCAACTGAGCTCTAAGCATTCATATGCTAAATATAATCAAAATACACAGTGGGAGCAGAAGATTTTTTTTAAAGAAAAAAGCATCCATTCTCACGACAATAACCATATTCCTATACTATTAAAAAAACAATACAATCATCACATTCAAATGAGAAGTTCCTCTGAATGAGGGCTATTGTAATATAAAATTACAAAAAGGTAACAATGAAGTATCATCGCAATCCCCCCCCCCCCCCCCCCCAATGAATTTTAGTTAGCTCTTATTGTAACTAAATAATAAACACTAAAAGTATACTGCACTTTCTATTGTACTACACTGTTTTGCTAGATATTAGTTTTACTGCCACTTATTACATGTCACAGGTTTAATTTCATAGAGCCTGTGGTCATCACAAAAGCGGTAATGAAATTCTAATGTAGTACTCAAGAGGACTGTTGACTCAACGCCACAGCAACAGGTGTTATTCAAATTAACTTCAAATGATTAATATTAATCACCCACAGTGGAGCCTTGATAAACCAGCACCTCTGTAAACACCAAACAAAACCTTTACTCAGAGGGTCAAAAGGATTACAGCTCATTTAATTGGTGAGAAAATTAGAGATTACAATGGATATGATTTATTTGATACTATTTAGAGGGATGCTGGCTTTAGTTTGTGAATAATTGTGATATCAATGTTTTGTGCCCTCCTAAATTTCAGCTCATATTCCTAATCTTACTATAACCATATTTTATTTTTATTAAGAGACATCTGACCTGCTGTTTACTATATTAAGAAACTCAGACAGCATTTCATTCAGTCAGACTTTGCTCTGATTTTGGTCTATTTTGCCCTCTGGTGGTCATCATGACACAAGCACACAATCTGTATTGAGCCAGAATAATTTATCTCCTTAAGCAGTTAGCTGACAATTACTAGTCTGTTAGGTTAAAACACCAAAATACATATACATTTATTAATATAAAAAACGAATACCTCTGTTGCGCTCAGGCATAACAAACAAGACAGGCAGGCAAAACAGTCCAAGTGGGTGGGCCTGGCTGTGTAGTCATGGTAACAACAAAAAGTGTTGGAGCATATCAGTGGAGATAGTTAATGTGTTTGAAACCTCATTTAAACCCCATTCAGTCTCAGATTATCATAATGTGTATTCTGAGGACAATTTGCAGAGGCTGAGTAAAGCAGGTTGTTGAAAAAGACAATCAGGCTTTATCCTTTCAGATCAAAAGTAATTTTCTTCATTGTCAACAAAACTGACAATGCATATAAAAATATAAACAAAGAGTATAAAAGTATCATCCATAAAAAAGTCATTTAAAAGATATAAAATCTTTAGCCACTGTTTGACATTTATCCCCATTTAGAGCACAACAGCTGCCTTCCAGGTTTTATTCCAGTGTAATGTTGACGGAGGCAAGAGCATCCACAGCCCAACTGGGGTACTGGTCACAAGAGGGAAACATTCGCTTCATGAATGTCCGTATAAACTCAGGGAAGCGGCCTTCCACAATGCTCTGTCTCACAGAGCGCATCAGGGTGAGCTGCAAAGAGAAATATTGATGAATTGAAGAAAAGATTATGTGACTATTGATCTCCGATGGGAAAGCCACTAGTCAGCATCCTCAGTCCTGTTACTTGTTTCCATGGCAACATTTTAGGCTAACATGTATATGTTTCATGGTAATTAAAAACTTGTTGTGACATTTTAAAACTAGTAGAGTAATGGGCCAACAGGCCAACGCAACATGGACGTCCCTAGAGTCACCCTGCTAGTGTGGATTAAATGGGAAAATGGAAAGAAATGCATGCATCATGAATTTTATATGTTGCATAATCAGACATGATCGGTTCTGATCTCTTACCATGAACATTATGTTTTGGGACACATCTGTCACAAGAGGACACTCTTCATTGTTTTGATAATGCCAGAGTAGCAAAGCAAGTTTGTGCCACTTTGAGGTACAAAGAGTAAGGAGGCACTAAATGATTGTGACTGAGGTGAGAGCATAGTCTGAATCATGTCACATACATTGGTAAAGTTCAACATCTTTTGTTAGATTTCTGTCAGAGCAATTCAACTTTGAAACACATCATATAAACTTGCAGCCTGGGTCATTATCTCTCTGTGGCAGGACTGAAGATACAGGAAACCAACTAACTGATAAAAGGGTAGTTTCTGTATCTTTAAATCCTTTTTAAATGAGTAACACCTGGTAACACCCTTTGTTTTTAAACCAAAAAATGAAGTCTCAATCAAGGGCAATTCTTGCTCTCTAAAATCTCATGAGGGGCGAGTTGTTGCAGGAAGACGCCGTCAGAAACGTGAGTGAGAATTGGAGGGGAGTTTGTCGTGTTGGGGTAACGTTAGGAAATAAAGACTTGCTAGCAGTTTCTCTAAGCAGGCTACACAACAAATCCCTCTCTCCTTTCTATTAGGGCTGGACAATAAAACAATAACAATAATTATCGCGATAAAGAAATTTTCAATAACAATATAACAAATGTACACTAAATATTCAATAAATGTATAATTTTATTCACCTAAATCACACATGAATTCGGACTTAATTTTTTATTAAGATGTTTATTTGTTGAGGAAAAAGGACTGAAAAAAGTTTACTTAATTTTACTTGTGCATATTTGTTGACAAAGTTTTTGTCTCTCTACCTCAGATTTGTGAAGTGATTCACTGTTTGTGTTGACCATAAAGAAAAATTTAAACCACAATTACCCATCAGGTTTCTTCAGCTTTCACTATGGGGCAAAAATCAGCCATTAAACTCGAAAGAAATAACAATTTGATACTTATCGTGATAATTAGCGATATTGAAAGATATGAAAACTTTTATCGTGATAACATTTTTGGCCATATTGTCCAGCCCTACTTTCTATGTTGTCAGACCTGGACCTTGTTTTAGAAAGTGGTTTTATTGAAAACTCTTTGAGATGGTTAAAGCTGAGATGAGGGATACTCTGGGTTATCTGCTTCAGAGACCGAGATCAGCAACTACAATAACTTATGCTGTGAAGCTAAACTGGTCAACTAACTCTGAGTTTCTCCCTGACTCTTCACTTACAACGTTTCACTTCCTCGTTCACACTGTCGATATCAAAGCACATTCTTTTGCAGAAGTTGATGTCTTTCGAAACATCTATATTCCTGTTAACATGACCGCTTTTATGATCAGTCATCGATGTATGCACAGAGACAGCGATCTCTAAACATCATGGATTCATTCTCAGCACAGAATAAACTCTACAGGCTACACTGTCCGTCTTTAGAACACTGTGACTCTGTGGACATTAAGGCAGCTGTCAGGTTGGCTGCACTGAAACATTTACTGTGGGCTACATTACTGCATTAATCACTGTTAAATCAAACTAGTCTGTTTGAGGTTGTAAGTGATCAATCAAATAAAACGACATCCGATCGAAACCGTCCATGATGTGAAATATTCACATCATGGAGATGATGCATTCATAGTCCTAGCGCCACTGGATTAAAATGGAGGTTCTGCTCTTTATTTACCCATTGCCATGCTGAATTTTAGTATCTGAGTCCATTGATGACAGCTTTTCTTCCATTCCCCACGCATGCGTTTCCATCAGGTTCAACATGCTCCGAGTTAATTGAACTAATTCTGATCAGCTACTCTGGAACCAAAAGAGATTCCCATCTTAGACTACGTAAGTGCCTGTCACATACATCAGCTCCTTTAAAGTCATTAAGGAAATCAGCATTTATATTCAGCATCATTTTTTTTATATGTCAAATGGGTTAATTGTGTCCCTAATATGAATAAAAACTAAATGTATTATCGAGCATGTTACATCTAGGTGTTTTTGCTCCAGTGTTGAATTATCCTATCCTATTTTATTTGAATTTGACAGAAACGGCACTTTCAGCAGCATTTTGAGACTCAATTATTTTGAATAAAACCAAATGGAGTATAATCCTTGTTACGGCAATGACACAAAACGTTTAAAAACTGCTATTTTTTTTTGCTAATTACTTTTGGAGGCAAAGATCACAACATTATTTCTGCTCAGTGGCAAAATGTTTTTTTGTTGTTGTTGTTTACTCTTGATTTAATCTTGAGTTATGATACTGTGTGATGTTAACCCTTTCCAATACTGACCTGGTAGGCAATGTTGTGGATGGTGATGTGATGCATGGCTGCAGTGTCACTCTTGAACAGAGCATGGAGGTAGGCCCGACTATGTCTGAAACAGAAAACAGGCTTATTATTTATATCTTCTTACCAGTTATACGGTTATACAACATACAGTATTTGTGGTACAAAATGCCAACCACTGGAACCAAAATGCAGCAAAACTGTCAATCCACACATTTAGCACAACACACTCTTACTGCATTGTCTGCATTGCATTTTTGAGCCAAGCGAGATCAAAGTAACCATTTTAGGGTAGCTGTAAGTCTGTTCTGGTGTTCTGTTACTCTGGTGTTCTGTTTAATATAGATTAATTAAAAAGAGATGCTGAGAAAAGAAATCACACTTTGAGGTAGTTTTGTATTATTAATATATCATCACTTACGCCAAAAATATGCTGTTGACTGCTAGGACCCAAAAGTGGAATGCCAAGATTTACATGATGTGAGCCAGACCTCAAAGCTTACACAATGATCTTTGGTTTGTTCTTTACCTACCTCTTGCAGGTGGGACACCTGCAGTCTGGGTCTATGGGCTGGAAGTCCTTGGCATACTGCTTATGTTTTACTTGGACAGATCCCCAAGGCACCAAGGCAGAGCCAAACCTCTGAGGAAAAAGGAACATGGCTGTCAAAAAAATAGTTGAAATAAGTTGCCAATTTAAAAGTGATTATGAGAGTGTGAGGTGAAGAGAGCTTACTGCAGTGCGTGTGGGAAACACGCAGTCAAACATATCACACCCCAGAGCTACACATACCACCAAATCCACAGCATATCTGCAGCACAAAAGGATAATTCACACTTTTATCTCAATTTTTAAGCCCATAATCAAGACAGTTCTCCTGAGATATATTATCAGAATACAGGCAAACATACCCCACACCCATGAGATATCGAGGCTTTTCTCGTGGCAGGTGGTCAGTGCTCAGTGTGACCATGCGCCAGAAGTCATCCTTCTCCTCTCCTCCACTCAAGCCTCCGATAGCAAAACCGGGAACATCACGTTGAATCATTTCTACAGGAAGGGGATTTTATAAATAAAGCACAGGTTTGAGTCCTTATCAGTGTCTCACAGAGTGGAAAAACATGACGTGTAACCTTTCTAGTTAATATGACCAGTTTCCAAATTACTTTAAGTAAGTGGATTTTCAAGGCAAATTAAACATGTTCTGAGGCTCCATCCAAATATCATCAATCCTCCAGCATGCTTGTCAAAACCAAGGACAGATATAGGTGAAAAGTGGAAAAAGGATCATCACAGAGCAGGATTCTTATTACCATCTAGACAGGCCTTGCGCAGCTTTGAGTCCAGGCCTCCTTGGATGATGGCGAAAAGGTTCTGTTTGTCTGGATTTTTATTGGCTGCTATGCAGCGGTCCAGCCAGCGAATGGATCTGTACATTGCCTCCTCCACCCGTGGTCCTGTCACGGTACTGCTGACCACATCATCCAGCTGCATCATAATGTCTGACCCTGGAAAAACATGGAGAGGTTTTAGCCACTGGGACATCGAGGGAAAGGCACAAAGGAACATGTCACTTAAGAGTGATTTAAATGATTTTACTCCTTTCCGACCTAGACTGTTCTGTATGCTGATGGATTTCTCAGGACTGAGGAGGATCTCTATGCCATCATAGGGGGACTTGAACATTACCCCTTCCTCTGTGACTTCCGAGAGTTCAACAAGAGACACCATCTGAAACCCCCCGCTGTCCTGTAAACAGAGGAAAGGGAAACACAAGATTTCACCCCAAAGCTAATCACCTACCACTTGTACAGTGTTGTGCTTTTATGAATATTAAAAATCTCCACCTGTATTGAACTTTTTTGTAATCTATGCATTCTTCATTTCACACTTACAGTTAAAAGATTTCTCTTCCAGTTCATGAACCCATGTAAACCATTGGCTTTCTCGATCAAATCAGGGCCCTGCAAGCAGTAGAGTTGAAATGGAAAAACACATTTACAAAAGAAAAGTTGTCATGAATTTGTACAGCCACTACTAAAATCAAATGAATCATAATTTAAAAAACTGTATTATTTCCTACCGGTCTCATGCCCAGGTGGTATGTGTTTCCAAGACAAATCTGACATCCAAGACCATCCAGCTGATCCACAGTGATTCCCTTCAGAGTCCCCTGGGTACCGACAGGCATAAAAACCGGGGTGCTGACGGCGCAGTGTGGCAGTATTAGATCACAAGCTCTTGCTTTTGTCACTGGGCACTCAGCAATAATTCGCAGACTGAGGGGAGAGGCTGCAGACAGAGCTTTCTTTATGTACATGTTGTTTTCTGAAGTATTTGCATCAACCCCACACTCTGTGGCAGCAGCCATCTTGCAGTGAGCATGTGACGTAAAGCGTCTGCAACTGATAATCGCGTTAGCCAATCGAAAAATGAGGAATTTGTTCAGAGTAAAGAAAACGCCTTTCAGTCAGCCAAACAAAATAGTAGCTTGATTGAAAGGCAGAAAAAATAGCCAATAGACTACCTGATTTTGCAGACAAGAGGCGGGTCTATGCTCACCGGTTTCGATCGGATGTCGTCTACGAAAACCGGATGGTGGTTGTGTAGAGGAAGTTTTGTTTTGCGAGTTTTCCCGTCCGTGTCGACTGACTGAGTATTGCGCTTAAAATAACACGAAATGATATTAGCGTGAATTGCATTACAGGTAACCCCTAAAGTGCTCAAGGAGAGAATAAAAGCTTAAGCTGTTTGAAGCGGCGGAACTCAACACTTCAGAGTAACCCGAGAGGACCTTTCTGCTAAGCTAACGTTACCTACATAGTCAGCGCGGCTAGCGTTAGCCTCTGGTCTTCGTTGTGTTGTAGGGGCTCTCCGAGCTAACGAAGCCATGGGGAACCGGGGCATGGAAGACCTGATTCCCCTGATCAACAAGCTTCAAGACGCTTTCAGCTCAATTGGCCAGAGTTGCAATTTAGACCTTCCTCAGATTGCTGTGGTCGGTGGACAGAGTGCCGGAAAAAGCTCAGTCTTGGAAAATTTTGTCGGCAGGTAAGCTAATCATGGCAGTTATCTCATAGTTTACGTAATTTCTTGCGTGGTCTACCATTCCCAAACTGTGTTTTTGATTGTCCAGCAGGTACGATATGTTTTTATATGCCATGCCATACCATAAAGCTGAACTAACGTTACTCTACCAGTTGCTACGTAACGTTAAGTTACGCACTTGTCGTAAACTTGCCTTGATAGTGTGGCTGCAGGTTCAACAACTTCACGTATATAAGCTAAGCTACAACTCATAATCGTTACGCCCTTCATGAAGTTTCATGCACCCATGGCTCAAGTATAGGCTTTATTAGTTTTAACAAGGCAATCTTTAAATTGAGGGTACAAACGTAAGTATATAGACTATAATGCTCTTTGACAATAATCATACCTTCTAAAACTGTCAGTAAATATATTTTGCCCTGTATCCTCTACACAATCTGACATTTTATGAAAATGACATCAATTAAGGTTTGCATCTGTAAAGTGCCTGTTGTGGTACTTCTGTTGTCTATTTGGCCGTTGTTGTGAATGGGAACTTCTCCGGAGGCCTTATTTATAACTCCATGCCACACAAACAAAGTCCTGGATTTGCATTTGCCATTAATTGTGATTTGGTCTGTAGGTCACAGCTGTTGATTGGAGTTTTATTGGGCCACAGAGTTTGTTGTTTGATTGGTGTGCCTATTCCTTCCAATGTGTGAGTACAAATATGTTACTGGAAAGGCCAGTAGAGTAAAGCGGTGGAGGCAGAGCAAGCCACCTCCCTTCCTTAGGGATGTGTATTATTGCACCTGAATTGATCCCCAGTGCATTTTATATAATGCATCGCTTTTGACCTGAAAGCTCACAGTTTTGCTTTAAAAAATTGACAGTTTGCAGAAGCTGGCATCTGTGGCAGACACAACTTCTCTTACCACCTTCCTCTTTTGTTACTGTTTAAGGCAAAACTTTAGAAACTGAGGAAATAGCCTCAACTTCTCTCCATTGTCTGTAGAGTTAAGGTCAAGCTACGGTGCTCCTCGACAGGCTGGTCCTGTTGTCCTCTCCCACATCAGCAGTGAGTGAGATCACCCTGCAGATACAAAACAAGCTCACTCTAAAGCAGCCTGTTTAGCAGGTTTCCAACCCATTCAGAGACACTGTGTGTGTGTGTGTGTGTGTGTGTGACCCAACCCACTCTGTGATCGCACAATCACACACATACACGCAAAGCCAGCTGACAGAGAAGAGGAAGTACATTGGCTATTAAGGTGGCATACAGACAGGCCTTTGGTTGAAAACATGTCGTAAATGTTCTTAAGCAAGAACACACACATAGATTAGACTACCACTCAGTGCACATTAATTCAGATGAGTCGGACTTTGAGAGCACTTGACATATCAGCTGCAGGCTTTCCACTTTGTGCCTGTTGGCAGGACTAACATACACCCATGTGCTGAAACTTTGCAGATATGCTATAGCGTATTGTACACTTGTACATGCTTATCCTTATATGAAGTATTTGAGTTGATAAAATGTACCACAGGCAGCTACTCTGTATGGCTGTTACCGCTGTACAGATGAACGTGAGGGCTGACAAGGTGGAACAGTAGAAGTCAAACGTTTCTACAAGGTCGAGTCTTAATACCTCAACCTGGAAGCACTTGGGAGGTGCTGCATATCACTATAGCAACTGTTGCTCTCATGTACAGGTGACTCATTGTTGATCTAAGGGCTTGTTCAGGAGCTCAGGAGTGGCCGATACCTACCCAATACATTGGTTTTCAATCATCTGTTAAACAAAGCTGTTTAGTGTTGCATGGATAATAGATTTGCAAATTCTCTGTGGGTACAAAATACTTTAACCGCTGAGCATGGAGCTAGTGTCACTCTGTTGCTGTATGATTTCCCTTGTGGCTGGGGTCTCTTTCTTTGGTGAGGTGCATGTTGTGTGTGAAAGGCTGGCTTCATCCCAGTGTCCCCCAGGCCTGGAAATAATCCCTCTTTCCCTTTCTGTGGCACCAACACCAGAAATAGAATCACTTAGTTCTGGGAAGAGACAGATTTCATTGTAATATGCATGTCTGTCGTTGCTTTACATTTCCTGACACTGATGAAGTAAGGGAAAGTAAGGTTAGACCAGCTGGCTGGTCTGCATTCTTTGCTGGACAGGAGCTAATGAAATCACTTTTGGCTCAACAGCCTCAAATATATATAAATTCATGAATGTTTCTGTCTTTTGTTATGGGGGCATGTGTGGATGTGTTGTTACCATGTTTAGATTTTGCATCAAGGCAAACTAATGACAGACCTTAAGTTTTGCTGACAAAATGAACAAATGCTCAATGCATTATATACTCTCTTATAAATCTGCTGTACATTAATGGTAACAAGCATGTAGCCTTAGCGTTTGAGACCTAATAGACCTTTCTCAAGACAGGTTTAATTAATAACAAGAGTAATAGCTGCATTACATTCATGTGTGTCAGTGCCCTGATATTGTGCATGCTGTGTCACTGGCATGACTTACACTGACAAACCATGATCTGTGTTATCTATGTCAAGTCAGCACCTACCTGTCTCTACCAGCTGTTATGTGTACAATGTAGGGCTCACTGGAATCTCCAGACTAGTCCACTATTGAATAACTGGTTAAATGACATCAAGAGCTCCTCTGGACAACAAATATGTCAAATGAATATAAAGTGAGCTTCATAAAAGGTTAAAAAATTATGAAAGTGATTGTTACTAGAGACAATGACTTGATTTTAGTGAATTAGTGATTTTAGCTGTGGCTTGTCTGCAGTTTAATGTGTAACTGGATCATAATTAATTCTCAGTTTAGAGATGATGATCAGGCCCGTGTCTGTATTTGAGTGTGCGGTGTGTTGTGATGTCATAGTCCCAGTGGGGAGTAAAGACGTCATATCTAGCACTGCAAGCTGCCCTGGGTGGAGGCTGTTATCAGATGTGTGGCAAGTAGACTACTGAGAAACCAGGAGTTTTTAAAGTTTAACCCTTTGTCCTAGATTTAATGCTTTACTAGAGTTTAATTAATTGTTTGTCATAGATAAAGAATTAAATATGGCAGGTTTGCTCTAATTCTGTGCCACCATCACCAAAATATGACCATGTTGGCATCATTTAAAAAAAAAAAAAAAAAAAAAAATATATATATATATATATATATATATATATATGAACAAATGTCCACAAGTCTGGATGCCTGTGTGTAGTACAGTGGTCATCCCTGTGAGAACGAAGTACTGACAGCCAAGTGGCAGAGATCGAAGCAGTTGGATTTTGGTAGTGCTTGAAAGGCGTTTGCTGCCTAGCGATGCTTCTTGACATACCGTGATGTGGGAATGCGGGTAGCCAAAATTATATGTCCGTTGTCACACCAGACCCATGAGATAAGTCCCATCAAACCACAAACACATTTTTGTGTCCTACACCCTCCCCGTCAGAGCGCACTATGACCTCAGAGTTTCATACACTCATTTCCATGTTTGAAAACGAGCCTTGCCAGACTTCTGTAGACTTGAGGAAAAGGAGGATCAGCTGGGGGCTATGGCTCCTCAGTGTTGCTCTGCCTGTTTAGAAGAAGCAAATGCTGTCGGGCAGACAGGGGGAGGGGAGTTGGCACTGTCTCCCTGCCCTACTCTCTCCCTTGCTTTTGCTTTCTCTTGTGATAGACGGAGGGAGGCTCACAGACTGATGCTCTTTGCTTGGCCATCCATAATGCATGAAATGATACACAATCTGCTCAGCTTCGTCTATCATTTACAGCGCATCAATAATGTATTACCGGCCTCTTGCTTCTTTTCAATATGCCACTGCTGTTTATCCAGTTCCGTCTATGAAGACTGACTGGTTCAATTCTGTACTTGCATTATGTCTTCTCAGAAGAGCACTTTTGAGTAAACTATTTCTTTGTCTGTTTTTAAACGTTATTGGCGCTTTATTTTATTGCTGTGAATCTTTGACCAGTGGCGACTTGATGAGGCGGCTGAAAATCCACCTGTAACTGGAGAGATGCATCAGAACATTAGCAGTTTCTTGAAGGCGTCATTCTATAATGACCTGTTATCTCTCAGCAGCATCTTGCTGCCATTCTCCTTATGCAGTCAGTTTAGTTTATCTTTTCGTCAGCCTACAGTCATGTTGTTCTTTAACTCTCCCTCCCTCCCTTGCTTCCATTCCTCAACCAGGGCTTTCTATTATGTCCACTGTGTAGACAAATGCCTGCATGTTCCACATTATGTGCAAAACACAGCACCAGTGCTGAACTACAGACCTGTGGATTTTTGCTGATGTAAGGAACATCCAGAATGTTCTCCACTGTTTCATCACGTGACTAT